GCGCAGTTCTTTATCGTAAATGAAGCAATGTTTCATCATTCCGCGCGAAGGCAGTCATTATTTCGTTTTACGTCGTCTACCATGTTGCCGTGCATATTATGTCAGCATACATTACAGTAACTCTACACACACGTCAAAGTAAGGCGAACTAAAGTTTGCAGCCGCGTCACCGAATTGTTTGCGCCATTTATTAGTCTCGGCAGTCCTTCCTTCGCTACTCCTTTTTATTGATTCTCTTACCGTTGCACATTAGTTACTTTCCATCTATCTTTTATCTAATTGCAAGTACTTTTTTTGCAGTAAATATTCTAACCATTGACTCCGGTCTTTTTATTTTTCTGATTTATTCGTTACCGATCTATTTGTTATCGATTATAATCTATTTGTTACCGATCTCCTTGACGAAGATCTTCGTATAAGTACAAATATATAAGATTTAGATTGAAATACTACTTTTTGCTATACCGCTTTGACCAACAAGCCGGATTTCGCGGTTTCCCGTTTCGTCGCATTATCAGCAAAGCGGAGTCTCAAACGTTCGTTTGTCGCTTTCCGACGACAGTCGGAGGTGTTCCAGGCAGCGGTGGTAGCAGCAGCGGCTGCAGCCGCGGGTGGCGGTGGCCAGCAACCCGCACCCACACCGGGCGGTGGCAGTGAGACCAACCCCGAAGGCGGAGTGGAGGCTGCTGCGTTGGCACCTGTCACCTCAGGCGCGACGACACCCGCGACAGCGACACAAGGCACCGACCTCAAAGGTCAACCAAAACGTTTGCACGTCAGCAACATACCTTTTCGCTTCCGAGACCCTGACCTCAGGGCAATGTTCGGGGTAAGTCGTACAATTTCTTTCACCCTCGTTTGCTTTTGTTATTTCGACGTTTTCACATTTGCTTTTGTCAATGGGAGATTGCTCGCCCTTTTATTGCGGCGTAGATAAGATGAATAATATATAATACTATTATCTGTTATTTTCTTGTGTTTCCCTTAATATGAAATAAAGATATTTTTAGCAAACTGTTATAGAAAGTACCTAATATACAATTTTCAGAAACAATTTTTTCGTTTTAATGTGCATGGATTGTATAACAATCTGCATGATTTAATTCTATTAAGCTTTAAGTTATTTTATTATGTTATTTTTACAGTAGACGTTAAGCATTTTCAAAATATTCATTAAATTTTAAACGGTTTTTAATAAGTATTATTTTTATTTTATCTATTTATTTCTAACTGTATCAGATTTCTTTTTTTATATAAACTTTCATCATATAATTTATATCTAATTTGGTAAATATTTTTTTTTTTTAGCAATTTGGGCCAATCCTTGACGTGGAAATTATATTTAATGAAAGGGGAAGCAAGGTAAGCTCACGTCGCCCTTAGGCTGCGAGCCACCCCTGTCAACCCACCCCCGATACCGCTAGTTTTAAGCTAATATCGTGCCCAACGGAATTCTCGCATCCAGAACGAATGTATTCGTATTTTTTCATGTTTTCTTTTAAAAACTCTCATGTTAATTCATCCATACGTGTCTGCATAAAATTTAACAAAATATTTGTTGTTTTTAATTTGAAATATTTATTTTTGCGTTATTGATAATTTGACAAATAAATCGAGATATTTTTGCATTACGTGCTTTCGCAACAATTATTTTCAAAATATTTATCACGCATTCGATGTTATTTTGTCATTCATCTTTTTTTTCTCGGGCTTGCCATTGGCAACACCGCGAAAGCTGGTGCCGTACACGTGACTCGATTTTTCTATCGCGTACACGTGACAGTTTCTCCGGTTCATTTATTGGAAAAGTTTTCCGGAGAACGTTCCGGATGCGAGGATGTCGCGGGGATCGTAATGATCTTGTTAACGGATGCAGCATCACGAACAGCGGTCCATCGTACATATATATTATACATATCCTCGATACGAGGAGAGGAGAGGCTGAAGAACTAATATTACATGCCAGAAAAACAGCGATATTCCTTGATGAGAATATAAGAACGTGCCGCTGAAACGTGCTGCTGCAACCGTACCGCGTGTACACGTTTCTTTGCAGCGCGATGGCGACATTCCGTTACAAGCTCGCGATGTTCTCGATAAAAAAATTCGCGAAGTACGAAGTGCCATTGTCAGTTATCGATTTTCCATCTTAGTCGCAGGTATTACGTAATTGTCGACTGTGATTTAGGCTTTTAGATAATTTTTCGAAAATTTTTACGAGTGATTATTAGGTCTCTCTTTAGGTCTAAATCTGCAGTTTTGAATTGTTTTCTCGCGTAATTTTGGCTCACAGTACGTGTAGTATTAGACTGTCCCATCGAAACAACGTATTCGATTGCGATATTATTTTTTTCGTATTTTATACGTGAGTCTCATTTCGATCGATCGGTTATTTTCATTATACTAATAAAGCCAAATCTCCGATGCTTATTTCCTTTCGGAAAGCCGCGAGAGGCAACTATTGATTCGCGGCGGAAGTCAGAAAGCGTCGTGCGAGATTGGTAGCCGCGATTGTCGGCCGTTTATGCAAACGGCGTCGGGGGATTTGAAAGAAAAAGGTAACGCTCTCGCGTTATATACGGGTTTGTAATGCAAATTGCTTTCAATATGGATGACAACGGAGGTCGGGATAAGATCCGCAGTAATACATCGTGCCGACAACCGGCATCCGGCGAGCCGGACGGTGTGCATATTCAGCTCTCGCGTTCAGTACACTCAAGTGCACTTCATCAAGTCGCACCGGTAACCCAGTATCCCAACGACGACGTCTGTCGACGTCACGTGTGGCGACCTACTGCTGATTAGATGCACGAGGTCACGTCTTGAGCTTTGCTAATGTGTCCGACTTGGATATATTTCGATTTTAATGTCATCACTCATCAAATTTTTGAAATATTTCGACATCTCAAGAACTATTCTCAGAGAAATATCATTTTTCGATTTGTTAATTATCCTTTATTGACGTTATGAATCTGTTTAAACGCCTTCCAATTTTTTACGGTTGTTTTAAAAGCAGCTGAGGTCTTCTTTCGTGTCCGAAATAGGACGTACCCGAATTCTTTTCCGATAGTTTCTAAACTTCTTCGATTAATCCTTAACATCTCGAAAGAAAAATGTTCACATCGTGTTCTGTAATATTTGAAGAGATGATGCTTTTTAGAGATTATCGCAAAATCGATATCTCTGATTCGTAAATATTAATTTAGTTTTTATTGAGTAATTGTTCGCTTTATTTGAAACTGAACTCTGATGCATTTGTCAAAAGTTATTTCACTTACGAGAATTGCGTGGTCCGTAAATAATGCTTTTAAAGTAAACATTTGCACACGATACTTCCGGCTAGTTAAAGTACAAAGTTCAAGCAACTTTGTGCCAGGAATATCGCGAGAAATAAGCCTCGTTGTGGAGCTCGAGCATTTCAATCTCACGAATTCTCGGAATATCTCTAACCTCGTGTTATATTTTATCGATAATGCTTTCGTCATCGATGTCACTTCTCTTGTAATGAAAGTACCGAAGTCACGCAAACCGCTATTATACTTTTTAGCGGACATATTCTGCTTTTTCCCTTGCGTTTTACTCCGCAATACTCGACTTCCCGAACGAATTCTTGCTGGCATTGTTACTATTTTAAGATCTGTGACATCGATTTTCTCATTAGCATTTACCGTTATTAATTACCGTGCTCGATAATCAATTAATGTGCTGACGGAAGCTCGACAACGTTTGTCGGAAATAAAAATGATATTTCGATATCCGATTATTCATTAGTAAATCGATTTATCCGAAATCAAATCCATGACGTAAATCCACGCGATTTTACAGTTGTTTCGTCGATATGTAAATATCAGGATGATGTCGTTCGAGAGAGCGTAAGAACCCGCAATTGCACGTATTTGTCGTCGATTAGACGATTATGGCTGAATCCGGTTCGTCTGGGTCGTGACGGGTTGTACAGACAGGAAGTCGATGTCGCTGCGCATCCGTACTTGTAACGACCAATCACGGGGCCGTGATATAGAACGCGAAATGGGCTACTTCCAGTTTCCGGAGGGCGGAACGCGTCGACGACGACAGAACTAATTAAACTCTCGCGCGACTTGCAATTAGCGGCGTCTAACACGATCGGCGCGGCTTGAGCTGCGAGACCGAGAGCGACGCGTACTTTTTTTTTAATTTCTGCTCGCTTATATTGCGGCTTAATCGGCGCGGATCGGTCGCGTGAAAGCGGTTTAATCGAGAGCGCATGGAAAAGAAAGAAAATTCTATGATAAGGGAACACGGTCGGGCACTCGAGCCGCGACACAGCTACTATTTTTCGTTGCCGTATTACGGTCAATTTGTTACTCATTCCCGGTGCTCACGTGACTGACTTCCAGCCATAATAATGTAGTCCGCGCCGCGGTATAATCCAGTCTCGTTTTTGTCACTCTTTTTTACCGTTACCGCCGTCTCGCCACGCATAATCTGACATTTGCATAGGGAATAAGATACTTACGAACTACACGAGATTCTTAAACGGATTAACCGCGTACCACGTCAAACCACGCTTGGCGTAAAAAAGCAGAGCGATAAAGCAGCCCTGTAATCTCACGGCGATATTGACGACGTGTGACGTACGCCTTGTAATTGCCGTATATATGCCAGTTGCATCGAGCGAACCCATTCCGCGAGCGAACAATTTCGCATGTTAGGTACTCGTACGCGTTATGTTAGAAATCCTGCTATCAGTATCAGGGTCGACAATGGCACTATCGTCTTGCCCTTTGCAATGCAAATATCTCTCGTGGGACCGACGCTACGCCAGCACGCGGTAAAGCACAAGTGGAATTTACCTCGAACGGCATAAGTGTCGCCATCGCTTTTAGCGCTTAAGCGATTCCGAAGGCGTGACAGGATCTGATACTTTAGCGGCACGCTATTAATGGACGAGCGAATAATTATTAATCTAAGGCCTTAAGGTCTTGGAAACATGCCGGTATATTGTTGTGACGTAACACTCGAACATTTTAATGAAATCTGCAAAATTCTTTTTGAAATATTTTGACTTATTGTTAGTATTATATCGTGTTTATATATCGTGTCAGTAAAAAATTTTCATGAAATGTGTTACGATGAAATGTGAATAATTATTTTACGAGAAAATATTTAATAGAAAATCAACATTTTAATTAAGAAGGATTGACAGTTACTTTTTTCTTTGTGTACAGTTTGCAGATTGAATATATCTATGATTTTTTTAAAACGAGAAGATCCCGTCACGAGCTTCGGCATAAATTTTTCATTCGTCACATTGCTTTTGTAGAGTGCACGTGAAACTACGATTTCACGCGTTCGATTTGATAGTCGATTCAACACTAACGCTTTTCATTATTAATAGAATTTTTAAAAAACTAAGAGAGAGAGAGAGAAATAAAAGGACATCTCTTGCATGCTGCAAAAGCAACGTGCCATTAGATAAAACGAGTGAGTGATCGTGTGTGATTCTGTGAGAGAGACCTTTTCTCGAAAGCTTCGTCAATGTAAATGGAATGTGGCATCCCTAATGAAGTGCAGCATTTTGGAAAAAGAGATACTTTGAAGCCAAGGTGGGAAAAGAGCGCGAACCGAGAGTCTCCTCCGAGTCTCTCGCCGTAACTCATACGTAACGTAATATATAACTGTAAATATGTTTACAGATTTATTTCAACAAAAGAGTCGTAATTAGTGTAGCGATTAATATAAAAGGAAAATTAATTAATAATTAATATCGTTATCGGCATTAATTGAAAGATAAAACAGATATATCCTCGATACAAAACGCAGTTAGTACCTCAAGGTGCTCGGTACGCGCGCTTTTCCGACACCGCGTATGTGCCAATGACACGTACATACATATAAATATAACCAATGGTGTTAGTTCTCGTAGTTGTTAGACGAGCTGTTGCATTTTTACTAGCTAGCCTTCCGCATTTTATCATTATTTAGTTCCCATTGGTTATAAGGCCGGTCGATGCACCTCATATATACCGTATGTTCGTAGTTGCTTACGTTGAACAACACTCATTCGCGAGAAATTTCAGAAAGTAGCATCATATAATTGTTACTCATTCGGCCAATGCGTTTTTCCAAGCAATTATGTTCGCTGCAATTAGAAACTCGATCGCAAAAGTAAAACAGTTAATTCTTTATTGATCAATTTATATTAATTTAGACAAAGTACAATTCAATAAATAAATCAGACAAATTTACAGAGATATGAGAGTGAGCAAATAAATATTATATCGCGCACGAAAATTTATTGTTGGAGGAACAAAGAAAAAAATTTTCATGAATAACGAAAAATGCGAGGTGCTGAAATTTGTTTCGCGACTTCTTAATCG